TATTGCAATAAAACGGCAATTTCATACTTTAACCCCTAATATTTACAAATTACAACTAAAATTGCTACGTCTAAGTGTTCCAAAAAAGATTCAAAACAAATTATTAATATAAATAATAATAAATATAAATAATATAAATAAATATAATAATATAATGTAGATAATGAAACTTAACTATTCAAGTACTGTAATATATTAACTGTACGCAACAAACTAAACACTGCCCCGTTAATACTCGTAGATGAATATCATAACTTCACAAAGATTATCCCGTACTCTCGTCATATTAAGAAAAATAATCCATCAAAAGAAATTCATACTACCTAAATTCAATGACTATTATGGAAAAAGAAATTGGAAATATTTGTTACCTGCATTAATGAACAAAATGAGGAATTTATATGTAATTATCATAACAATAAACACTATAAATCATACATTAAGATATATTTTATGAAAACTGAAGATAAAACTTTATTTTGTAAAATGCTTAATTGTTATTATATGCCATTCACATATACATGTAAGTGAGCATGTTTTTGTACCTGTCTGGAAGTAATTAAGTTAGTTTTTTAAGATTTTTGATCTATTGTATATTATCTTTACATAAATAGACAGAACTCCTTCGCCGCGTATAAAGCCGGAAGGGCTTTTGTGAGCGAAGCTTGTAATTAGTAAATGAGTATTTTTCCTGTATTTCGGTAAAAAAAAACTGGAAGGTTTGTAAATTAAACTAAATAAGTTCTATTTTGTTTGTTGTAAATGTTGGACACTACATTACATACACTTATCACTTTATATATGTATCAAAATCATTATTTAAGTATTCTATACATATAACTGAATACAACACACTACATTATAGAAATATTTATGTAATTTATTTAAGTTTACTCGTATATTCGCGACACACACGTCCGGTACTCATTCAGTATTAGGGCCCACTGAAAATCAGCGTCACAGCCTTTTCTCGGTGGTGACAATAGCTGAGTGGGATCCTGTTACATACGCCACAGCATGACACTTAATCTAATTGTGTTAAATATTTCATGTTTGCTTTGTTGTTGTGTATGATTTTATTTTTATTCCTTTTTTTTCCACTTATTTTTATTTTAATTTTTTGTTTTAATGTAGCTTCATCTTTTTTTTTATCTTCATTTTATTACTGGGTATATTTTTGTTGTGGCGTAGTAATAAAAGATTTCTATTCTATTCTATTCTATTCTATTCTAAATCATTCCAGAGCGTGCCTTTTAGGTCATCACGACTCGAACATCCGCAATGAATATCAGAATCGAGAAATGCTGATGCTGATATTTTAATTTATGCAGATTATCCGTAGATGCGGATGCTGATATTCGAAACAACCCTACTAGAGACGCAGTTTTTATTGGAAGACTTCACGTGGAAGGGCATTGTTATTTCAATATCAAAAATTTGTCAACCCCTACAAAGTGGAAAACAATTAAGAGAATAGAGAATTATACCAAAATCAATGTGCACGACTTCGGCAGTCTTTTTATCGATGAGAATGTTCTGTAGATGTCTATCTCCAAGGCCCAATATGTATCCCACCATGGACGAGGTGGCCACACTGAAAAATCACAACAGAAGTGCTATAACAACGTTAGTTTAAATATCTACATATAATTTCATATATATTTATTGAGATGTTTTGTGAAATAACTCCACTACTTTTTTTTTAATAACGCACACACTCAACAGCCCCGCACTAGGGAAACCCTGTGTTGCCGGTGCCATGGACACACACACACACAGAGACAACCACAAATTACATCCAAACTCACGAGAGAAATAAATATAGGCCATACAAATATTTCTCCCGACCCAGGAATCGAACCTGGGACCTCAGCGTGGCAGTCTGGCATGGTAACCGTTCGGCCACGGAGGCAGTTGTGTTATGATTATGAATACTAAGATCGAACATTTCGACTTATCTGAAGAACAGAGTCCGATGTGATTATATAGCGAAAAGAGAATAAGTACGTTACGAGAATAATTTCCTTATTCAAACTAAGGCCTACGTAAAGGTGTTTTGAGAAATTACATATCTTATTTCATTTCGGAAATATAAAATAGAACAACGGTAGGTCTGACATCTACAGCGAAGAAGAACGAACGAAATGTACTATGTCCTTCAACTTCAACTTCAACTTTTGTGTCTATGGCTCCGTCGTTTTGCGCGACGATTTTGCCAATGTCAGGGTTGAAAGACATGTGGAGCGGTGGTGAGATAGATTGCCGGTTATTAAAATACTTCGGCGGTTTTTATTCACAATGACGGTTATATATATATTTTAATGACATTACATAAATATAATTTGAGAGCTCATATTATTTTCTTTCTTTTAGAAACATTGTAGGAAGTTTTATTTAGCGGGAAATAAAAAATAAAATCGTTTAGTAAAACAAAGTTAGGCATCGTTTTCGTTCAGTAACAAACTTGACCGGTGTCAGCGTGGAAAATTATCATGGAGGATGGAGAAAGAAAAAAAATTATACGAAAGATAATGGGAGAATACGGGAAGAATGAAGAATATTCATTTTTCTTAAAAATTTAATCTGATCAGAAATGAGAATTTTTCTCCGATTCACATTGTTGGGACAGAAAATTATGAAATGAATGTGGTCGAGCAGAGGTTATTCGCTGAGAACAAGTAGTCTTGTACATAGGTCTTTGTTCTACGGATGAGTCGATTTGCCGAGTCGTCGAAATTATCTTGTGTTTTTGTTATAAATATTATATACAACTGTCTCCGTGGCCGAATGGTTACCATGCCGGACTGCCACGCAGTAGTCCAGATTCTATTTCCGGGCTGGAAGAAATATTTGTATGGCCTACATTTATTTCTCTCATGAGTTTGGGTGCAATTTGTAGTTGTCTATGTGTGTGTCCATGGCACCCGCGATACAAGGATTCCCTAGTGGTCTATGTTGAGTGTGTACGTTATTAGTACTGACTTTTCGGCATTCGTCGCCGCTAGTGACATCTGGAGAGAGATTTTTGAATAACCTTCTCACCACAGCGAATGCCAAAAAGTCAGTGCAAAGATCTATAACAAAAACACATAGGAGAATTTCGACGACTCGGTAACTGGCCCATGGCTCAGATCACCGGGTTACCCCACCGGGTCGACAAAAAATTTTTCTGTGTGTTCGATCTCTATATTCATAATCATAAATCATAATTTCAAAGTTTTTTTTTTAATTCTGCAAGTAAACTTTCTTAAAATTGGTACACTTCTGCAACAGGCGTGCTGACTTATGTCACAATTAGAAAGGACTTAACAAATAGAAATGTGAATAAATTTTATAAATGAATATAAAAAGTAACAAAACACAAATATTTAAAAATTGTCTACCAGACAGAGAGGACAACGTCTGGGTAGTGGTCATGGATTACATTTTCGTCTCGCGTCAATTATAGTACGGAACTTTTTTTATGAGATCAAGTGACGGGACGAACAAGTCGCCCAGCTGGTGATAAGTGACACGCCTGTCCATAACAGTGGCAGTTCTACTCACAACGATCTGAGGGGCACTGCCACTGCGCCCGTCATCCTGAGACATGAGTTGACAAGTCTCATGTGTCTGTAGTTACACCAAGACCCTTACCCTTCCTAACCGGAACGCAGTAATGCTCACATTATTACTTGGCGGCAAAAATTGGCAAGGTGGCAGTACTTCCCTGGACGAACATTTTCACAAGGAGATCTACTGCTACTAAATCTTATGGTGATGAGACTGATGTTATTTACCTTTTAGTGTAAGCCAATCGCCTTTCGTACCACGTCACTGGGTCAAGATAATGCTCGGTAAAGAAATAGTGGAATGCTGGTCTAAATTCTTTCATCAATTTGAGGAAGGCCGTTAATTTCTCCTGATTAGGTCTCCTCTTTTCATAAAGAGCGATTAATTTCTGACGTGCCACTTGAGCTGAAATATCCTGAAACCACACATTTTACGAGTACGGTAATGTCATCCTTGTCTATGATATTTATGTTTATCAGACTATCACTATGAAAAAAAAGACAATTCCATAATAAAGACGCAAGGGCGCGTTCCCACTATGTCGTCACGACAGATAGTCGTGCAGTTTACAGTGTTGTGACTTGTATATTTAAATGAAGTTGTTCACATATAGAACGACACTATTAACTATCGTTCACGATTTTTTTGTCGTTACGACGTCAGACAGTCGTGATAATGGGAAAAGTTAGAACGACAGTCGTCCGATGGTAAATAAAACGTGACGACAGATAGTCGCAACTACTATTGTCGTTACGATTTATTTATCGTTGTCTGCACGTGTTCTGCTCCCCACTCTCCCCTTTCGTACCCCACGCCCTCGCTCGCTTTGCACTAGCGTTGGGTTGTAGCCAGAGACGAGCCCGGGTTTTAACCCGGTGCTTTATTAACGGGTTTAAATCGGGTTAAAACTCATTAATACGCAAAATCGAGGGCAAACACTATTTACGACTAAATATTTATTGTGAATTGAGTTTTGTTCAAATTTAATTATACATATTATTACAAAATATTCAATTCTTAAATAGTCCCAAAATTTTCTCTCATCACATTTCAGTTCATCTATAAACGTTTGACATAATCCTAATGGAATTCTTTTTAATAACATTGGATGTACCCAAAACTTTCTTCTTTCGTTTGCTTCCTTTTCCGCCTTTTTAATAAGTAATTCTAATAAAAATAATAAAATATTCATACATTTCACACGAGTGCGAAAACACACGATTGGCTTCCAAAAGAACATGGAAACAACTAGAGTACATCAAACGACTCTGTCATACAAACGACAAGGCGGCTGCCGTGAAACGATAAATTGTCGTCACTATCTACTGGGAACAGCTAGACACGACTGTCGTTCAACAATAAAATAATCGTCCACGACAGATAGTCGTGATATGGGAACAGGCTAAAGCGACAGTCGTCCAACGATAAATAAAACGTCACGACATAGTGGGAAAGCGCCCTAATACAATTGGTCTGGTTTCCGCCAGTTTTATGCGGTAAAAGTTACCCAGAATCTGTTCAGAGCTCACCTAAAATATGCAAGTTATACGTGACCCGTTTCAAGTTAATTTTTTTAAATATTTGAAATAGGAAGAGGTTCTCAATTAGATTGTTTTTTTTTTGTATGTATGTTATACGATAACTCATTATGTAAACCGATTTTGTTGATTCTTTTTTGTTGGAAAGAGGGTACCTCAGTAGTGGTCCCATTTAAATTTGAAGAAAATGTACCACCTCTAAGGGCGGGAAACTAGGAGATGAATGACTTGTGGTCAGTTTTTTTAGTACTCCGTACTGAGATTATTGTTTTTCAATTTGTTATTAGTACTTGAGCAATCTTTAGTATTCATGGAATATATAATATCATGCGTACAAATAATTGTACCCTTTCATCAACAATCAACAAAGTTATATAAAAATATTACATACCTGCGGGTGGTATCTTGCGTGCGCTCCAGAATTACCCACTAAGTAAGTGCCGACGGGCATGGTCCCTTCACACCATTCCAGCACCCCGGATTTACGAGACATGGGCACCACCTTCGTAAAAGCAAGCTCAATACAGGGAAATGACACTATTTTTCCGGATTTAAATCGCGTATATTTGTTTTTTCAAACAAACCGACGTTTCGATACAGGGACTTATTATTTACTGCATTATTTGCGATTTTGGTCAAGGGTTCTTCCATTATGCAAATATATGCAGGCCTTATTCCGATCTCTGATGATAATCGAATAGAAAACTATATCTATTGTAACATAGGATAATAAGAGCAAGTAGGACCACTCCCGTCTGTTCGTTGCATAAATGCCTATAGTGATATTTGAGAGAGCTCGGAATTGCATATGTAGTGGTTTTCCGTTCGCATAAAAACCACAAATACAACCACAAATTCTTCTGTAAACACATGTATAATACACTTCGCTCGGAGCGTAGGAATGTTTCATTATTTTAGTTGTGCCTACAAGTTGTAAACTTAATTTTATAAAATTAAGGTGTTCATCACAATATTCCGCGCCATATTGAAAAAACCTTCGTTAAATGCAATAAATACTTACGTGTTGATATTATTACACCAGCATCGCGGTTTGGTTTCTTGATCATGGAGTATGATTATGAAATATAAATTAAATGCTAAACAATACTGAATTTAAGGCACTCTTGTTCAAACTACGACAAACGACAATAAACATGTCTACTATTTGGTGTCTTTTTTTTAAACACCCAGAGACCGCTTGCGACGACCTGCGCTATACAACGCAAGTGCATTGCGAGATTATGCGAATGTTTGCGTCCGTATACAGCGTGCAGCCATCGTGCACACATACAAGCTGCGCTGCTGTTTGTATGGAAATACTATACCTGTCTTATTATACTATGCTATATGAATATACCTTGTAAGTACGAATGTTTAATTTGTTTCGGCTGGTAACGGGGTCCTTCTCAATGAGAATGTTGACAATATTGAACACTTGTTGCATCACAGCGTCTTGCCTGAGGTCGTCTTCGCCCTATGAAATTTAAAAAATATCACTGACAAATTGCATTTGTCGATGGACCAATAACCCAAGAGGAATGCTAATCTCCATACTGCAGATCGACAAACGTCAAAATCACATCTTATTTCTAGGTGGCGCTGATCGATAGCCTGGAAGTAGTTTATATATTGTAAATGGCTGTGGATATCAATTAATTCCTCTTTAATTTGAAGTACAAGCAGTCAGTTATTTTTCCTTGTAATAATATTCAAATATTGACCATGAGCTAAAATCATTTTCTGAACTTTAATAAATATGCGTATCAATTGATGGCATTGCGTGTTACAAACTAATTTGTAATTTACCGCTTGCTAATATGGATAGATGGCGCTAATCCTAAACAAAATTAAAGAATAGGCGGCAGTATCCATAAAAATGTGTGCAATAAGCGCCATCTAGTTGATTTGTATGTTATCACTAGAAATTAGAGGAGCTTTGATAAATTGCAGCTCGTCAATGTAAATAGCTACCCAACACAACGTACCATATCCTTTTTATTCAAATTCCGTAACCTTTCCACAATCAGTAATTATGCTTTCCCAACCATTACATTGGATAAATGCGAAGGCAAAACCATAAAATATTGAATAAAAAAAAACTTACAAAAATAGCTATTTGGTACTCGTCGCGACATAATAGTGGTATCAATAGGTACTACAGGCCTATAGCCTGTTGGTCTGTAGCACTTAGGAGCGGTAGGCTTGTAGTACCTTTTAGTATTGGTACTACACGAGTAAGTAACTGAGTGCGGTGAGTGACAGTTTATGTCACAGTTATATCGCGCTGCACACGGGATGATTTCCACAAGATTTTTCTGACGATATTCAATAGCAAGTTGTTTGTTACCTGGGTACCTGCCTTACGATTGAGCAGTAAGGTTTAATAAATATTTCAAGTGTAATTTTATTACGTATAAAATAAATACTATTTGACTTTGACGAGCTTCAATGGTGAAGTAATTTCGAAACACGTACCTTGATGAGAAGAATTCTAGAGATACCATCTGAACCTTTGCAGTTTATTTTCTTCGGACAATTGATTCCTCCAGCCGGTTCAAAGTAGTTTTCGAATGCGACCAATGCTACATAAAGATATCAACGATTAGATAGTTTCAAGGCAGTTGTTCGTCTAAATGGGGAAAAGAAAATTCATGTGTACTACAGCTTTACTGTAACCGCGAGGCAAGTCACGATAAAGGCAACAAATTTCTTTATTTAAAAAAAAATGTTACTTTGATATGATTATAAACTCTTTTGCAAAAAAAACGTGCACTTTAGATTTTTTTCTCTACTTCAATGAAAAAGAACAAGAAATAGGTTTTATTAATTTGACGATATATTGGCATGTTATTTCAAGCATCCTGGCATGATTCTTTACGTTCCAAATTTAAAATTTGAAATTAATAAAAGAAAAATAATGATTATTGTGGTTATTCTAAAATTGCTTTACTAATGGCGCGAATTGCTGAAACGATTTTTAACTGATTACGATATTTTAAAACTTTTTGGATATTTTCTGCAAATTAAACAATTTAATATTTCTTTTTACATTAAATACCACTTTTTGATATGAGTGATAAAGTGATAAGGGCCGGTAAAATTATAGCCCTACTTGAAGAAGGTTGTTCGCAAACTTACGTGTCTCAGCGGCTAAATGTGAGTCGTTCAACTGTTCAGAGGACTTGGCAACGGTATCAAGAGACCGGTTCGGTCAAAAGAAGACCCGGTTCGGGAAGAAAACGATGCACAGAACCAAGAGATGACCGCTTTTTGGTGAGTCAGGCGTTGCGGAATCGTAAGGCGTCAAGTGTGGACCTGAGCACCGTGTTCCTCGACTTCAGTTTGCAAGGAACTGTGCTTCATGGACTCTGGAGGACTGGAATAAAGTATTGTTTTCTGATGAAGCTAGAATCTCTTTGTGTGGAGAGGTCCAATTGAGCATGTCTGGGATGTTCTAAAGAGAAGGGTAAGATCAGCGCAACCTGCTCCACAAAACATCAAGGAGCTAAAAAGAGTCATTGCGGAAGAGTGGGAACGTATTCCTCAAAACGTTATTAAAAACATCGTGGAAAGCATGCCCAGAAGGATTCAAGCTGTGATTTTGGCAAGAGGAGGTCACACTCGTCATTAGGTTTTTACATTTGTAACTATATTTAATTAAAAAAAGTAAAAAAAAATCTTGTCTTTATTGCCGACCACTTTTTATTGTTTGGGCGTGAAAATCGGTTTTAAAGAATCCATCGTTTTTTTTTCTTTTAATTGCCGGAATTCACTTCACGCGCATTAATTTACACGATTATAAGTATACAGACTAAGTCAAAGAAATAAATTTCATTTAATTAACTCAAATCGACTTTAGAACGTAAATTTCCTTAGGTGCCCGTTTTTTTTTGCAAAAGAGTGTATTATTAGGAAAGATCATTAGTTAAGCAGATTTATCCCTTACGTTCTCATTATTCTACGTTGCCAATACAAAGGCCTTATTCAGAGTGGCGGCGAGCGCGTAAGCAGGTGCGGGTGCGTGTAAATAAAATATACGTGGATGCTCGTTGCATTCAGTGGCCGCGCGCGCCGGTGCATGCCTCGAGGCGGACGCGGCGCAGGTGCGCGCGTGTCGCGCGGGTATATCTGTTGGCTCGGTCCGCCTGTACCTTTCACAGTGCTTGGCCTAGTCTGTTTGCGATTTCGATGTGTGGATCTACCCGCTCGTAGCCGCTTCGGCACTGTGAAAGGGAAGACGCCAAGGCGCGCGCGCCCACACCCCCCACCGTGCCCGCGCTTGCACTCTGAATGAGCCCATCGAATTCACATATGAACTTGGCATCAAATGGCATTTACACAAATAATTTAAAAAAATTAACCTCTAAACCGTCACTTACTAGGAATGTCCAAATAATCACAGTCATTTCTAACTGGTATGGTAACAGTTGGTATAGGAATAGCATCTAGATGTCCAAGCCGGTGTATGCGTTCCGCTTTTGGAACTGCCTGTTTTTTGTTTGTATCCTTCGTCTTCGGGGTGAAATTTGCAAAACTTATTATTGCTACAAAGAGAAACATGTAAATAGATAAGATCAACTAAAACTAACACATTAATTACTATATTGATTCACTTATAAATAACAAATTTTAATAACAAAAGGAAGGTAAAATTTTACATATTGCATGACTAATTAGACCATATAGTTTTGGAAGTTCTCACAGACAGCAGTAATGGTCAACGTCAAGGTCAAAAATTATATTTGAAAATAAATCTACCTCCTCCCGTGTAAAGGCTACCTACGTAACATTGGCGGAATTGTGAAAGACACAGAACAAGCCACTAATAAATAGGAAGAAGTTTTGGAAGTAACGGCAGTGAAAAGGCGCTGGCTCAGCGTAAATGCCGCAGTTTTCCACGATACTGGTATTCTGCCAGAACCCTATTAAGAGAGACGCCACTCATCATCTCAGACTGTCCTCCAGCGTTATCATTATATAGTTATTGCGTGGCGTTATTAAATTAAGAAAAGATTATATTTCAAATTAAGCTAATTCCGAGCGCTGGACAAGTCTCCTCACAGGCGAGGTTTTAGGCTATATGGCGGACTATAGCTCACAGGTTTCATCACGATGTTTTCCTTCATCGAAAAACTTATTGTAAATTTTAAAATTAAATTTCGAACATAAATTCCGAGAAATAGAGGCGCGAGCTCAAGTTAAGTAAATTAAGACTTCAAATTCTCACATTTATTAAACTCTGCAACTCATTACCGGTCCAGGAAAAAAGAGGCTTATTGAAAACAATAGAGATGCGAAGGGAAAAGATGTTTGAGCATCATAGAAGGAAAGATCGAAGGAAAGAGAGGCAGAGGAAGACCGAGACGAAGTTATTTAGTTATTAACAATAAATCAAAGTTAGGGATATGATAGCAGAAAAGAGTTGGGTGACAATTACTCCCCCGATAAGAGCCTAGCTGTTAAATAAGAAGGGAAGCTACTTATTACAAATTGAATGAAACAATATGCCAAACAAAACTGATAATCACGTTACTATTGGGAGGATACAATATAAATACCAATGAACAATACCATCTTGGATAATATACCATTGTGAGTCCGTCAATGGCAATGTAAGAAAATGTTTCCAAGAAACAAAAATTTTGCGAGGAGAATAGAATAGAAATCATTTATTCCGTGAAAAGCAGTACACACTCTATATAACTACAATACTGGATTGAAAACAAATGGAAAGCACAATATGCCCCATTACATACAAGTTAACGAACAATACGAATAACGAATTAAAAAATCTAAATAAATAATTACGTAAAGAATAAAAAAAGAACTAAACAGGCAGCGTGTGCGCTGTGCTGTTACGGAATCCGTCATCCACTCAGTTTATTGTCGTCTAAGTGAAAGAGCTACTACGACGCTGTTTTTCAGTAGGTCCAGTAAAAGAAATACACGAGAAACGGAACATAACAGATACATAACTAAATTATACAATTATCATGGGCACTTTTTCGATATAATTAAAATTGTGTTGGTACACATATCTTATTTTAAAAAATTGTAAAATCACTAGGGTAATAATTCTCATAGAAAATATTTAAAAACTAGATATTTGAAAACTTGATTACAATTGAATAAATAACTGATAACTTATTAACAACTAACAAAATGCAAAGTAGCTTATCGTCGAGGATAGTGCAATTACGCGTAACTAGCAATGGATTATGAGTTTCCATTTCGGTAATTTAGTGGTCAAATTAAATCCGCGGAAATGTCGTGGCAACTAAATTAACGTGAATTACGGGGATCTACCGTTATCAGTACAACATAAATCAATGCTTACTCTGCCAAAATTTAAGATCGTAAGTTAAATCTCTCTCCTGTAAAATTTGGTTTAGTGCAGATACGCGCCTTTTACCAATACTACATACGAGGATTTGTACTGTCCCCGACGTTATGCTCTTGCTTACCGTCACACATCTTTTCCATTTGCTCAATAACAGCCGCTAGCGCAGTCTCGCTTGCCAACTGGGTAATCATAGCCTTTGCAGAGACGACACGTGGCTCATTACACTTTGGTCGTGTGACCTGAGGTGCACCATACTGATTACTGCTGGCGTTTAGTATGAATTGGTCCTTATCTGAGTTCTTAAGACTGAACATAATGGGTAAAGTGTGGTGAGGATGGTCCATTGCGCACCGTTCTGTTTAGGACAAAATAAATAAAGAATTATGGGTAAATTAGGCCTACCACCGTGAATGGATATGTTCTGTGATTGACGAAATTAATAATGTGAAAGTGAATATTATCGATAAATCACTTCTCCTTAACAACTGTAAAGTAAGTAGCAGTGTGGGCCGACCTGTGATCGTTTAACGACCCCTTGCAAACCATTTCAGTGCAAAATTGTATATCACTTACATCGGTAACGTACATCACTAACCCATTTAGACGTTCCACTGCTGGGCACGCATCTTTTCTTTAGGGTTTTAGGTCAAAGCCTGACACGCGGATTGCGGGTTGGGGACATCCATCGAGTATGTAACCCGAAATAGAGACGAAATAAGGGCCATATATTCCTGGTAACACATTAGCGATACAGCTTTTATAAAATTCAACTCTCGTTTGCACTGAAATATAGACTTTGAAATATAGAATTGTAATAAAGATACTAACAATGCCGTGCTGTTCTAGTCGGTGGTGTGGGAAAAACAGCAAAACATCTATAATTACCAAACAAACGGAATCACATTTCATCGTTAATGAAATATTAAATATGTGATTTTGAAATTTTCGTCCATTATAGCAAAGCTCAAGTTAACTGGTCGATTTGAAGTGAAACAGTTGACGACACCCGTCAATTGTTTCGAACTCGGGCTAGCCAATCGGAGCGCAGTTGTCACAGTAATGATATGGCAGAATAATTTTCAAACAAATGAAATGACATTTCGTCTCTATTTCTGGTTATATCCTCGATGGGGACATCCCATGTTTTCCAAGGGTTGTGAACCTTCTTCGACACCAAAACTTAAGCTCATAAAATTTATCGTGCATAAATTTCAACCATTTCTTTAATTTCAATTAGGGCAAACCATTAGGCGTTTGAATCTCTATTGCAATGTGTTCGATTGATTTACTTATAATAATAAAATCCTTTATTTATCTCAACACATCAACAAAATACATATAAAAAATAAAAAGTACTTTACACAGAGTTTAGTAACACCATGTAATGGTGAGAGATAAAAAGGTCTGTAGCTCAGTAAAAATGGCGGAGTGTTTTACAGTACCACTCGCTGTAGTAGAATATAGAATATAGAAAAGAAATAACACATATACGATCATATCAATCCAGTTTTAAGATTGCCAGCAGGCAATATATATATTTTAATTACTTTTTCTTTCGACACGAAAGAAAAAGTTTAATTAATAATTAAAGCAAGGAAGTTTTTGATCCTGAAGTCGTGGCGTTAAAGCAGACTTTTATCCTGTGCTAACATTAAATCAGTTACGTATTTAGTTCTTGGTAAACATTCTATTTAACTCTAGAAATAAATAAAATATGTTTTTATACACGATTATAAGTCCCAAATTATTATGTATATTACAATTAATGTGTGAAAATCGTGAAAGTTTAAATCAGTCAGTCTCGTTGAAGAGAATAAGGTACGGAAATTAGCTGCTTTAGCAGCCAATAGTAATGAGTTTAATTATAATATAATATATAATAATAATGCACACACTCACAGCCCCACACTAGGCAAACCCTGTATCGCGGGTGCCATGGACACACACATAGACAACCACAAATAATAAAAAAAACACCCAAACTCACGAGAGAAATAAATGTAGGCTATACAAATATTTATCACGGCCCGGGAACCGAATTCAAGACCTCTGCGTGTTAGACCAGCATGGTAACCGTTTGGCCACGGAGGCAGTTGATATGTGCAACTTAGTTTTTAGCCAGCTGTTTGTTGAACTTACTGATAATCTTCTTTAAATTATTAGCAAACAGAGTCGTCTCGTTGGTCAATCTTGGTGCCAGCTGAGGAAGCACCGTTATATACTTTCGTGAGGGTATCGAATGAAGCAGGTCCTCAAAGTTGCCGTCTTCGGAATCCACAAATTCGAGATCGGTATTATCCAGCCAGAGAGATATCACACGGAAAACGGAGAGGTTATTGCATTCAGATAGTTTCAGAGATATGAGGTAATACCTGTCACAAAGAAATAACAATGTTTAATAACATTGATTAAGCATATCTCAACTGTCGAATCGTTAGCATCACAGCTTGTAAAACATTAACAGAAGTCATAAACATAATTTTTTCTGTCAATCACCACAATAGTTATTTCGGGTGCGCCTCACTTATATGAAAATAATAGAAATAAACTAATTTTAAAACAAATAATATAATTTAATATAATTTTTATTTGGTTGGTTTCACTTCTTATAATTTAATTTCATATAATTTCTCGTTTGATATAACATTCACATTTTATTTTATTTTTTTATATAAAGCTCATATAATATAACATTCATTTCATATATTGTCAATTTAGATATTTTATACATGGTATAATATCACTTTTTAACCGATTTCAAAAAGGAGGAGGTTCTCAATTCAACTGTATGTTTTTTTTTTGTACGTATGTATGTTACGCGATAACTCCGATATTTGTGAACCGATTTTGATGATTCTTTTTTTGTTGGAAAGAGGGTACCTCAGAAGTGGTCCCATTTAAATTTGAAGAAAATATTCGACCTCTAAGGGTTGTAAACTAGGGGATGAATGACTTTTGAGATCGGTTTTAGTACTCTGTACTAAGGTTAGGTTATCGTAAATAATAAGTTTATTTCCGACTCGCCGTGGTACTTGTCTATTCGATACTAGGAGTTCATGTGCCGTGCAATCAATAATTTTAACATTCTATGTAATACTTTTGATTTGGATTCTTTCAATACGGGTGTAATTTCGGCAAGGAGAGCACTGAGTGGGCACTTCTTTGGATTCATAGTGAGGCTTGCAACTCCGGTGGATTTTTATGTTTTATGTAACAAATTAAATGTGCATTCTTAATTGTATTTCTATTTGTGAGAATCCGTATTTGGCTCTCAGTTGTTATTAACACAGATAATATAATACTATACTAGGGCAGATATACAATCTCATTCAAAAAAATATTAGTTTTATTATGATTATTATTAGTTAGTAAGTGCATTTGCTCTGAGCCACTTGGTTAGCGAGTCAAAACCAAATTGAGTTTGTGAAAATATTTGATTCCAACTTGAGGTGCTGAATAATGATTGTATCATCGGTATAAGATATGATCTTGCCACCAGAGAGGGGAAAGAGCGCATAGTTGGTTAACATAGACAAGGAATAGAACTAAACATTCCTAAAATTTTGTTTAAATTTTTTTTTTAAATTTGCATTTCTTTTATATTTTATACTTCTTATTTGGTATGGCAATGGTAATACCTCAAATTTTCGAGATTCAATACTTTGTTCTTTATTTTTTCCTAGTATCACATCTATGGTTTTAAATAAGCACTAGAGTTAACATGTACGACTTGATACCCCATTTTATTATTATTATTATTTAATTTAGTTTTAAGCCTGTAGGTCTTCCTTTTTAACCGACGTCAAAAAAGGAGGAGGTTCTCAATTCGACTGTATGTTTTTTTTTTTATTATGTTACGCAATTACTCCGGTATTTGTGCACCGATTTTCATGATTCTTTTTTTGTTGGAAAGAGAGTACTTCCATAGTGAACCCTTTTAATTTTGAAAAAAATCATCCACCTGTAAGGGTGGCTGTTCACGCATGAAGATTCATTTTTATAAATAGCGCCTAAATTTTATTATAAGGAGTAATTATTTTAATGGCTGATTTTGCTATTCTCCAATTCAAGGTGTTTTTCTTTCTCAATATACTTTGAGTAGTGAGAACCTATGAACCTATTTTTATTATCTCCTGAGTCAAGTCCCGCATAGTGGCGAACTAGGGGATGAATCCGGGTTTGCGCACTTTCCGGTAACCGATTTCAATAAAACTTGGTAATTATATATAATTCCACGTACTTTTTACGGTCGGTTTTTTTAGTACATAGTACTGAGATTATAGATAAATAAATAATTAAAAACATTACGGGCACTCACCTCATGGCTAAATGCAAGAAACTTTCCTTCTCAGTTCTAATGCTAGCTATTTCTGCTTCTTCGATGTTACCAAACTTTTCATGGGCGGCTAAGGCTTTCCTTTCGTCTTTGCTTAAATTTCGTTGTGCTTGCGAACGCAGAGTGCATGCCTCATCTTTCATGTTTTCCAAGACTTTTAATTTTTTCTCAAATACAGTTGAGTCCATATATGTTACCACCTAGAAGAAAATTTTGATATAAGAGGACAAAGCATAGAAGCAAATAATAATAATAGCTTTAAGAGTGTTTCACAGTTTAGGTATCTTGAGCACCTTCTGATTGAAGAAGTGATGGATGAGGAGGGTACCGAGATGGAGCGCAGGGCGTTGTCGGTTTGTGGGAAACTATTTGCACATAGATTCACTCGAAGAGGATCCCTGAATCAAGTTAATAAATGCCAATACCAAACTTCACTTTTCATCTACCGCCCACAGCGCAATCCACTGAGCTACCAAGGCTATCACAAATACAAAAAAATGCCGGTTCTTCAGTTATGTACCGCCGTTATTAATTGTGCTATAATGACTATGGCAAGAATAACGTTAAGTGTTATGATTAAGACATACTTTATTTATGGAATGTCATAATGTTTTAATACCACGACACACATATTTTTTATGAAAACACTCCACTAGTTTGTTAGATCGAAAGAATTTTTATTTTTATTGTTAGACGTTTGTATCAATAATAAGACATACTTGTTTGTATTCAGCATCAGCAAATTTGGCGATATCGTAATAAACCTTCAATCGTGTCTCCACATGGTCATTTTGACTCAACACTTTCAGGCTTTTCTTGAGATATTTGTCAATTATATCACGCGGATTGTCGCATTTCGACTCCGCCATCCATAAACCATACTGTCTGGAATTCAATTAAATTTTTTTTTTCACTTTTTAATACAACATGAGGGGAGGAGGAGGGATACTTCAAATATTAATTTAAAGTACTTAATTACTTCATATATTAAGTACTTTCAGTATATATTCTCAGTATGTAATGTAATCTCAGAAAAGTTGAATACCGACCCAAAAACACATTATAATTCTTTTTTCATCAAATACTTGTCTGTGCTACTGGTAAAGAATTAAAGTCCTTCTAATTTGACCCTTTGGATCGGCATCGTAAAAATACAGGTGATTTTTATTTCACATTTGGTCGGTTCGATTTACTGATAACGCAAACAACTTTATAAATCTTTGAACGCAGTATTACTTAAAATATCATATCTACAACATTTAAAGTAATTTCCCTACGTGTCTCATAGATGTGTGATGCCCTGTATAAATCATGGTCTTTTTTCATACAAAAGTTTTTATACATTCATGTTCAAACAGTTTTCTACGAAAAGTTTACAGCGCAATTGAAACCAAGGAATTTTCTCGTCTCTATTGTTGGCCAGATCTGTACGCCTTAGGGTGCGTACAGATCTGGCGAATGCGCTGCAATTAAGTGCGCCTCTGCAATGACATCTCATAATACGCATGAGCGGCACACGAACAAATCGCACTACATAATGCACATGTGTAGCTCGCGAGCCTTTCGCAAACAGGCGCATTCGCCAGACTGGTACGCTCCCTTAGTGCATTAGTAAGAAATCTTTCCTACCTCAATGACACAGCAGCCAATTTAACATCAGGTGTACGATCACTCACAATGTTACGAAGCAAAGAAAGAGCGATGTCCTTATGCCCCTTCGCCCATGATATTTGACTGTCGATAAGTGTTACGTCTTGACTGTTTTGCAGCCTTTTCGCTACAGCCAGAAGACGTTGAGCCATTTTAATCCTTTGATTAGACAGCCCGAGTTCTGAAATTTGTATAACAATAAAAAAATAGGATAGTAACGACAACAAAAAATATAACAAATGACATGTAAAGAAATTCCTTGCTGTATAATTATTGTACTATTTCTAAGTAACTGCTGAAAAACTCAAAATTTGTACATTAAATTTACCTTTTTTTTTCTTTTTTTTTTTGACGGGGGGAAAACATTAAATTTACCTGCGTACTGCAATTGCAAAGAAGTGATGTCTTTCAAGAAATCATTATATGTCTTAGCAGCATGCTCAAGTATCACATTGCGTTGTGACACTAGAGCTTCGAGGTGTTTGAAATCATTGAAAACTGGCAGTCTCTCCACTTGCCATTGATTCAAGAGGTTTTTTATTGTTGATTTGTTGCATCTTACAGAAAAGTAGTCCTCAATGTCGTCGAGTAGATGAAGTTTAGTCAAAACTTTATACACATTCTGACAGTTTTCCATATTCAAGTTCTGGCATAGTTTCGCAATGGCTAATTTTGCAAGATTCAGTGGCATTAGCACCTTTGATTCGAAATCTGGAGAGGTGTGAAGATTGAGACAGTTTTTGAGGCAGGAATATCTTAAAGCCTTCGCGATGGAATTGGGATTGCTATTTGGTTGCTTGAATTTATCTTCAAGCTCTCGAATGTCTACCAAGTCTGACCAATCACCTGTGGGATGGAAAAGAACTTGACTGCTTTGTAAACAAAAGCGTCTATCGCTCCGGAAGACACTATGTGTTACAATATCACAAAAAATTTGCCTAAGCTTTTACAAAAATAGCTTACCAAGAAAAGACAGACACTCATATTTTACGTCATTAAATTCGTTGTTTTCTGGCAATGACTTTATGTATTGCAAGGCCAAATGGTGCATGCCCGACTTGTGTAATGATTTGACGACCCCGTGTTGCAAATGGGGGTCTACTTGGCCTCCACTCGAGAGCGCAATATCGAGTAAAAGTAAAGCATCCGCAAATTGGCCTGTGTTTATCAAATGTTTGCGTTTTTCCTCCTCGCTTGTTAGATGAGCGGTACCACAGCCGTCTATAGAATCTAGTTCGCCAATCGATACGTAACACTGCAAAGGGTAGTTGTTGTTTATAACAATATGAATCGAATTAGATAAATCATGCAAATCTTGACAAATTTCTGTAGTTAAAAGTATTGGAATACGACCCCTAAGTCGTATTCCAAAACGTGACCCAAGTATCGCCGTGATCATCAAAATGAAAATTATTTGTCACGATGATCGATCGGGATATGAAAAACTGACACTGGCGATGATCGCTATAATTCCTAAATTACTATGATAATACTATTGGAAATTCTTAATTCTTGAGTAATGTTCTGGAATAAAAACTCTGCTGGAAATCATACTCAAGTCCTGACTTGAGTATCGAGTAAAGTTCTGGAATACGACCCTAAGACTAACTTGACTAGAAGGTAAACTAAGATTTTCGTACCATAATGGATCGACTATATAGGAACTTAATGAAATTGCAACAAATAAACGCTGACAAGTTATATTTTGTACCCTTCGTCTTGCTTCCGCATTTTTATAAACAAAAAATCTTTCGACAAGAGACATTAATCTTCGAAAGTCAATGGCGGCGACGCCTTTGCAGGTCAAAAGTACTTGTCAGCCATTGACTAATTTAAAAAAAGTGAAGTCTTATTACCTTTCTAAATATCTTTTGAAGATCCTCTCCACCATTCAGTAGGGTAGTAGCTTCAGGCGAAGAGGGCGGCACACCGTTATTCTGAGCGTTGGCCCACAGCTCTCCATAGTAAATTGCAGCCAGGTTCTGATCAGCAATAGTTGCCGCCCACGCAACTTTATCGTAATCTAATCTTAGGTAATTGTACGTCTCAAACGTTCGATCAGTTCTGCGGAGTACATTATTAATTTCATTTATATATTTACTAGATGCATGTGCATTTTAGATATTCTCCTGGTTTTATTACATGTTGCTGCTAATCAGAACGCAATCGTGCGCAGTAATCCTAAGGGCTCCTACGCATAAACACGATACGACGTCGCGTCGTGCTACGACGCGGCATCGTTTCACAATGCGACGTCGTGTCGTGGAAATCTACATCGAGCAACATAAAAATTCACGACACGACATCGCAACGTGACACGACGCACGGCACGACGTCGTATAGTAGAAACTCACGGTGCGCTCCCCAATGCCGCATTAATTTGTTATTCCATATTCAAAGATGACTTGTATTCTTCTGATGTTTAGTCCCATAGTACAGGACGCCGTGCGTCGTGACACACTGCTATGTCGTGTCGTGAATTTTTACGTTTCTACGTAAAAACGTCGTAGATTTCCACGATACGACGTCGTGTCGTCGCACGACGTGACGTCGTATCGTGTTTATGTGTAAGAGCCCTAATATTTGTACTCAATTTAAAAAAATTAACACTAGAGTTGTTCGTGCACTTACCGAGGTTGATAGTTACTTTTTTGTAACCGAATAAAATTGACGATATTGAGCAAATACTGAACCACCATTTTGTGATCTTGATCTAACGCAGTTGAATTTCTCCTACAAATACTGTCCTCGCTATTCTCAATGCTATCAAAATTAGAGTTCCAGATGTGTTTAAAGAAATGATTTAATAATTCGCGAATTATTGTTACGTGCTGGTCAGAGGAGCATTCGAGAAGCACGCCCATTAACGATGGTAAAATTTTTTCGCACACTTCTGGCTGTAACACAATGAAAGTATTAAGTATAAAGAACTATATAAATTAACACGAGTTTGCATTTAGATAGCTAAGTATAGGTTTACAGTTTATACATTATTACAAAAGTTTTATTTAGAATGTTGATGTTATTTATGATCACCACAAATGATCGCGATTAAACAATATAAAATGTATACAGGGCAATTTTTAAAATACTAACAACCTCCCTGGATTATATTACTGACATCATAAACAACAACTTTTGTCCCGTGACTTTTGATAATTCAACAGATTTTATTTCCTTGCAAAAAATTAATAGATTTAAATAGATCCCTCTAAACGATAATAACTCTATGCAGGACGGGTGTGGGAGTCGTCACACGGGACGTTTGCATGTTTGAACTTATTCTACCAAATATAGACCTAAAAGTGTCAGATAGTACAACAAAAACTTTTATTTTTGGTAAATTTATTATGTTTTGTAAAAAGTCATGGAACAAAAGTTGTTGTTTATGATAATATTAGTCATATAGTCGTGTGAGGTTGTTAGTATTTTAAAAATAACCTTGTACCATAGATACAGAATAGGGACACCGTTAGTTTTTTATGGCGGTATTTTGAAAAACATAGCAAGTGTGGTTGAAGATTCCACCGCACCGCCGAGATGGTGACGCAACACCGCGTCGCTAGTCAGCCTGTCGCCACGGCCAGTGCAACTGGCCGAAACGTCGAGATAATAGGTAGGTGTGCAAATATCTATAGTGTAGTATAATGTAAACAATCTTGATACGCCTTTTTATTGAAACATATACTTTCAAATCAATGGGTATAAAAATAGGTATGCAATTTCATATCAAGCTAAGTATTTGTATTTTGTGTTTGAAGGTAAGTAAAAATCATATAATAAATGTATATTTAATTAAATAGACATCTCAAGATCGTTGACATTTAGTTAAGTACCTAAACAAATGGACTATATTAAATTGTTTAATCGCATTTGTTCCCGTTTTCAAATGTCAGTACAATGCATTGAGTATGTACAATGCAACGCGCATGTTTAAAAGTGTATATAAACTTTGTTAAACACAAAAAAAAAATATTCCTAATAAGTATTAACCTCTAAGGTCCATTAAAAACCAGCGTCACAGCACATTCTCGGCTGTGTCTTTAAGCTGAATGTGATCCTTTTGCATATCCACAGCCGCACACATGTCAGAAGTATATCACATCACATCACGTCACGTCACATCATATATCATATCATATCATATCGTAACATATCATATCATATTATATTATTTTAAATTATAGTATACAATAGTGTTAAATTATATAGTAAAGTTGGTTGTTTAAATGTCAGCTACGCTTTTTTTTGTTTTTATCTATATTACTTTTTTGTGTATTATTATATTGTGGCGTTTGTAATAAATGGTTTCTATTTCTAACCAGAAACGCAGCATTCAGGTCCAGAGTCCAGTTATTAAGAATATCCTGAACATAGGTGCAAGCTGAGGCTCCACCACATGTTGTAGATATTCCAATTTTATGATATTGCGTTTTACTTCCACGTTTATATGGAAAACGGCTATGGAGTGGAATTTCCTGCCTGCAGACTTGACCTGCCTGAACGGTAAAACTTGGGTCCATTCAAAGCGAGAGTGAATAGGTATAATTTAGGTGTGCATGTTCCATCGTCGACCTCATTCCATTAGGTGAAGTGGAGGTCAAATACGCACTTATTTTTTTATAAAAAAAAAAGAAGCTTACCTTAACAATACAAACAGCGCGTAATACGTTCAAGTAATTCTCCTGTGTAGCTAGAACGTCTAAGAGAGCTACTGTCAACCGAATTAACCATTTTGTATGGTCCTCATTAGGGTTTAGAAGCCAGTGCTCTGGCTGGCGCAGTGAATTGAATTTCATTTCGTTTATTTTGAATTCTGCTCCCGTGTGACATTGTGTAGACGCGAAGGGTTGTAGGATTTGTTTGCATTCTTCTTCTAAATCTACAATCATGTTCATTAAGAATTGAATAAATACATATAAGACCATTGACTTGTATAAGACATATCAGAGGCAGATAGCCTTTACAACTAATGTTTAAGGCACCAAATATAACTTTTATACGTTTAGTTACTCTTAACTGGAAATAACCAATGTACTTTACTAGTATTGGTATACTAACAATAGAGAGTATTATATTTTATGTGTATTATATTATAATTATTGATAGAAAGATCGAACACTTAGAAAAAACTCCTTCGATCCGGCCAGATTCGAACCGACGTCTTCTAGCAAACCGTGCCAGATGCTATGCCAACTAACCCACGGAACGAACCAGTGGTCCTCACGAATTTTTCTACATGCTTGTTGTCGGATTTTTGTATCTGGTCTTTAACGACTTTTTAGCCGTAGCGCCATGAGATCTATGAAAATATTTCGTCACCCAGTTGGATAACTTTAGAGGTGGCTAGAGATGTCGCTATTAACAGTAATAAATTTTGTATTGAATTGATATTCGATTATATTTTGTGAAATTACTCCACTAGTTTGTTACAATTAATTATTAATACAAAGATATACTTAGAAAAAAATCCTTCGATCCGGCTGGATTCGAACCGACGTCTGTATTATATACGTTTGTATTATATTATTTGTATTGTATACGTACCTAAAGCAGTTTTTCCCTCGCGATATTGAAGTAAACGTTTCAAAGTCTTTGCTGCTCCATTCGTGACACCCGGCTGCTCGTCAAAAAGGACCTCGGCGAGTGACGACATCACGACCATGGCAAAATATTGCTTCGGGTGCACACTTAACACTCTTTTCGTGTCTGATGGCGGAACAGTAACTAGCGTTTTCAAATCGTAGTTGCCAATCTCCGATAGACAATTACAGGCTTCGATTTTAGTCTGAAATAAGTTAATCACTGTAAGTTGATCCCTTACACGTTTATCTGGTGAAAAAAGGACTGAAATTTTACTTTATTACGTTGGCTTCAAAAGTCATCAAAGAAAAATTTGAACTTTCACCAATATGCATATAAATGTAAGTAATTCTAATTTCATCGATTTTGTCTAAACATCATTGAATCTATACATCATTTTTTTTTAGTCAGCGTTAAAGGTTTTTCTAGGCATTAGGTGCCATTTATTATTTTTTATTTATTTTAGAATTTTAAAAGAGGAACAAGGTCCATACAGGCTCCATTAAAAAAAAAATATAAATAAGAATATAGAAAATAGAAATAAGAATACAGAAAGAATATAGAAATAAGAATACAATAAAATACTACATCCGAAGTATTTTTAATACTGTTTGGGTAATCTACGCTCTACGCTGGTTATTCAAGCATCTAGTAACATAAAGTATGTATTTTATTAAGGCTAAATATTCATTCAATTAAGTCGTGGGAGCCTTGGCTTCACCTACCGACTCTTAAAGCAGAAGCCGTGAGTTCAAATCCGGGCTCGCAACTCTTGGTTGTTCGGAATTTATGTGTGAAATTTAATTTCAAATTTACTGTGAGTTTGTCGGTTTATTTGTTCCTTCACATCGTGATGACCTGAACATCGAAGAAGATTGCATTGAGCCAGCGTAGCGGACTATAGCTTTAGGCTAGCCCTCGCCTGAGAGGAGACCCGTACACGGCACTGGGACGTATAAATGGGTCGATGATGATGGTTCATTCAGCGACCGTAACTAAAAACCTGATTTTGGTTTATTTATTTATTATTTATTACCTTATCGTCTGAAGCGTCTTTTAAAGTTTTGCTCAAAGCATAGACGATTTGATGGATGACGCTGTTCCCGCAATCATCTGAGAATCCTTTATTGTTCAATTCCTCAGATAATTTCAGTGTATACTCTTTGTTGACTTTCAGTAACAACCGCAGTTTTAGAAGCGTCTCGTGACTAAAAAATAAAGCTGGAAAAGTGACTCCTGGCAATAAACAAGTTGCCTAATTTTACAAGATTAAAAATTCAATTTATAAAGTTCAATTCTGTGAGAGGCTAGTGAAGTTGAAAAACATCCTAATTTCAACAAGGAAGATGGTTTCTCCGTACCACCAGTTCGGGATCGAGTTTCTTTGAAATATTTATATATAAGGTATTTAATCATTTTTGTAACTACAGTCAAAAATAGGGTTTGCATTAATTTTAGATATAACTGAATGCTGATAAGCAATAAACAGTCAACAAACATGCTCATAGTTTTGCGAAAATATCACCTAGATTAATTCATTGTTTTTGATAGTTTACTCCAAAATTTACAGTAAAGTTAAATAAATTTTAGAACAAACTATCAAAAACAATGATAAAAATCTTTAGGCGCACTTTTCTCAAAACCATGATCATGTTGGTAAACACGTCATTGCTTAATCAGGATCCAACTGGTTGATGCCTTTACCACCTCACTCAACCGTGACATGGGACCTGCAAAGGGACAGAAACTTTGGTTTGTTTGAAAAAAACAAATAATTATATGCGATTTAAATCCAAAAAAATAGCTTATATATAATATATGATATAGAATAAGTTATAATTTAATAATGAAATCTTAATTTATATATACAGTTATATAAATTAAGAGTTTCCCGATTTACCTTGGACATGATAGACCTTTGGCAAAAATCTGAATTTTTTCCAAGAATTTCACTTTCGTTGAGCAATTTATATTCTCAGTGGACCTCTGTGACAGCGATGCTACGAAATCAATGACATCTTCACTTTGTTTTAAATAGTCCTTCATGTCTACAACCAAATAGTCCAATAGTTCTGCACATTCCGTATTGAAACCTTCCTCTATCTTGATCATTAAAATTGACAATACTTCGGACACAGCTTTTCGCAAAACGTCAACATTACGGATCAAGAGTTTTTTAAAAACAATTTTGAGCGCCTTCGCAAACGCACTGATTTCGTGTTTACTCTGCGAATTTTTTACAGCATGTGAGATGCTGCTACAAGCAAATTTGCATACAAAAGCGTCAGATTGGTGACCCAGAGGTATGGTTTCTAAGAATGTCATGAAATTATGTAAAAGCAAAACTTTGAATTCGAAGATATTTTCGTTTAAGACATTTGCCCATAATTTGATCAGCGCTTTAAATATTGCCAAAGGTTGATGTTCGCATAAGTAGTTCATTGTGTCTTCTTCAATGAGATCCTGTGAAAATGTAAGACGTTTTAAATCTCTTTAAAATAAAAACTGTAGTAAAGATTTAATTCGTACGTTCATATACCTCGATATACTTCAACATTCCATCAAATACTTCCTTTGGATAATGATAGCTTTTCGTTTGTTGTGGAATGTCAACGTTATACTGTTCTTTCGCTGCTTCGTGTGTGTTCAATTGAGTTGCAATCACTATTACTAGTTCGTTCATATTTTCCACAAACAAACTGCTCCACCTTTCAATGCCTAGAATAGTTTCTCTAGTCGATCTGAACAATTTGTCAGCATTTGAAGACCACTCTGTCTTCCCAGGTACGCAATAGTTGAGCCGATATTGTTCTATCACAACGTAAGGCAAGGACAATACTATGATATTGCAGAGGCACATCTGAAAAAGACAAATAAACTAAATAAAAACCTAAAATAAAACCTACATACCTATAAGAAATACCTGCCAGTTCTGAGAAAAGTTCTGGAATCGACACGATAAAGGTAGGGGTTATGAATCTGTCTGAAATCAAGACAAAATGGACATAATTAAGGTGTCTTTTACACAACTTAGTGTCTTCCACAAAAATGGTAACTATAATATTGGCTAGTACAGTAAAAAATCCTCAAATATAGATAAAGATTAACGCGCACACAATAATAACGCGCACACACTCATAACCCCGTACTAGCGAAACCCTCGCGGGTGCCATGGACACACACATAGACAACCACAAACTACACCCAAACTCACGAGAGAAATAAATGTAGGCCATACAAATATTTCTCCCGGTACGGGTCTCGTACCCGGGACCTCTGCCTGGCAGTCTGGCATGGTAACCATTCGGCCACGGAGGCAGTTAGTGCCTGTAAATAAAATGTTGTTGAACAATATTGTTGCACAAAAAAAAAATACAAATTACTATTATATTTGTAATTTACTGTCATTATATTGTGTTTTGTTACTAGTACATTATGTACTAATACTAATATTTGTTAAAATCTCTTCCAAGGCCGTAACTATTCAGTATTTAAGCTATTTTATACTGATAGTTATTTTACATAGATAATGTTAAAAAAAGTAATCCTTATATAATTATTACTGTCGCGTTTTGAGTATCTTTTAAACGACTTCAAAAAAAGGAGGTTCTCAATTCGACTGTATGTTTTTATTTGTACGTACATTCCATCATTCCACCTCTAAGGGTGGCAAACTAGGGCATTAATGACTTTTGAGGTCGGTTTTTTAGTACTCTGTACTGATATTACGTATAGAAATATTTGTATGGCGTTAAATACCTATGGTATAATTTGAACAGTAGTATTATAATATACACAATCGTTTCAAACGTTTCTCAGCGTACATGCTCGTATGCACTAATCATAGATTTATTAATATAGCTGATTTCGCAATAACGTAGGGATAAAGTAAGTTGTAAAGTACAAGTGCGAGATCCATTTTTGCGAGATTTATTCAATGTGATTGACAAAAAATTGTTTATAAACTATTGAGTTTATATTAACAGAAATTACCTCGACAATACTGTCCAAACTCTTCCCCGATTTGGTGGCAACACGTTTTAATACTTCACTTTCTGTAACAATTCCTTTCTTGTTCCATAAGATCTCCGCAGGAATCAACCACTTCATATATTTTTCTATAAACGTGTCAATATTCTCAAATCCGAATAACTTGAGTGGTAAATCTTCCAACTTATTTTCTTTCAAAAACCAGAAATTAATAATGGACAAGATGTTCTCATTTAGGTACACATCGATGTCTTTATTACAAACAACACTGGTTATTCTATTTAGTACTTTCTTCACTAAGCACATGTTTAAAGATTTCTCTTTCTGCATTTGTATCAACTCCGTAACTATGTTATGAACCAGTGTATTCTTTGTCTGGGCAAGCATAAGGAGACAATGTAGTACAGTTAATGTTCTGTTTGTTCTTTCGTCTTGCATGACTAATTGAGTTCTTTCGGATATCTGAAAATAATAATAAGTCTGTTTTATTTATTTTTAAGGCAACTAACTTATGCTTATTTACATATTAGTACTAAGTGCCAACACGTCACTTTAACAATGGAATTTTTTAAAACACATTCCGTTTTTGTGCCCATTTTATGTAGACTGTCGCAAAATGTGCGGAAACGTGTGTCAAGAAGAAAATACACGTCAAATAACCTTGATAAAATATGGAAGATAGAAAATGAAGTTACTGGGATTTGAATGTGAATAGGCAGTCCGAGGCCCAGCAATTCTACACTTCTACATTCTGATATCCTTAAATCATTTCTGCAATTTTTCCTAACTAACCCATGCATTTTAAAGCAAGCTTTTTAAGTATTTCAGAGAAAAATAAGTAACAGATTTATTTGTTTTACTTAAAGAATTTGGGACAATTTGGTTCAATGATACAAGCGAGGGTAGCGGGCCCCAAACGTTTCAAATAACGTCAATAAAACCGTAATGGCCTATGGTTTTTAAATGCATTTATTGCATTATTTTTAACAAGTAAAGCGTAGTTGTACCGAGCATAATAAGATTATTCAAGACTACTGGAAAGGGGAAATCAAATAACATACACCCCTTTTATGGTTTTGCAATAAAATATTGAGTATTGAGTATGTTACTTTCGCAACTGGTTACGAACCACCAGTTTCGTACGCGGCCGAAGGGTCGTCAGTGAAGTGACTAGCATAGAAGAGATACTGATTGATGTACGGACAACGGCAAACCAGACTACACATTTTTGTTCGAAAATCTCCTCCAGTGCAACGGAACAAGATACGTCAATGTGTAGCTTGATGTGCGGGCGTGTGTACTATATACTTATAACGTTTATTTTATAGTATCAGTTATGTACACACCTCAATTACAAATATTTCAGATAATCCTAAGACAAAAGTTTGAATATCAGATTCAGACATGTGCACTACAAGGAGTTTCAACAAATAACAGCAGTATAGCCGAATACTGTGGTTGTCTCCTTTGATTTTGTCCAAAAGTGTATCCACAAAAACGCTGTCTATGTCTCGATTCTTCATTCGGAATAAATTAAGAACTATTTTCACGGCACAGGCGTACACTAAAGCTCCTACTCGAGGCGGATAGAGCTTGTCACGTCGCATATAGCTCTTGATCATAATCTGACAATTTTGTTGCATCTGACCCTCTTGTGACCATATCTTGTCAAGCATTCCTTCCAAAATAGTCAATATCTTGTACGATGCTCTTGCATTTCTAAACATGTACTTGCACATGTTTTGCAAGAGTATAAACATTGATTCTGAAAAAATGCGAGTACAATAAATACAATTATTTTTTTTGTATGAGATGTTAAAAAAGTACCTCTAATTTGCTGTGCATTAAAATTATAACCACAAGTCATTGTACAGTCAAGAGCACGTCAAGCTTGACAGTTTGGACTTTGGACCGTTATTATCGTTACTGGCATAGAGTTTGTAGTGCCAAGCTTGACGTGCTCTTAACCCAGTACCTAGGAAATAAGTGACAATGTAATAACTGTTGGTAAACCAAATAATAATAATTTAGTAGCAGTAGAGCTCCTTGTGAGAGAGTTCGTCCAGGGAAATATTGCCACCTTACCTATTTCTGCCGCCAGGCAGTAATGTCAGCATTACTGTGTTCCGGTTTTGAAGGGTAAGGGTGCTGGTGAAATTACAGGCACGTGGGACTTGTCAACTTACGTATCAGGGTGACGGCAGAGTCAGTGCCCCTCAAATCTTTGCGATTTAAAGTTCTGAGTGGCAGTGCAACTGTTATGGACAGGCGTCTAGCTCACCATCAGGCGCACGACTTGCTCGTCGCGTCACTTGATATTATAAAAAAAAATTACCTAATGGCGGATCTTCAACTCGGGATCCTTCCAACAGTTTAATGCAATTGACAGCGCAATCGAAGTCCCACGGAATAGAAAAGTTGTAAATTTTTGGATCCAGTATAAAATCCAGTATATCATTTCGATGTGAAACGCTTTTCAAGCAATATGCTGCTAGTAGGAGAATACAATTGTGTATCAAAGGGTTCGGGTCCTCTTCGTCACCTTCGAACATAACTACGTCGTCTGTCTCATCATTTTTATTCATTATATTATTAACGCATTCAAAGAATTCTTCATTCATACATTGCCGGGCTTCTAAGGCCAGCAAAGAGTCGTAATCGCCGATCAAAATTGCCTGAACGCCTTGTATTAACTGCGCACTATTCAGTACTTGAACATTTTTCAGTATATTCGTTAATGACATGTACATGACGGTTAAACCTGATTTCAGTAAACAGTGCATTTCATCAACTCTAATATCATCATGGTCAACAAATTTGTACCTCAACAAGATGTCAAGATAAGCAAGTACAATATTCAAAAAATTCATGCATTCAAGCATTTCTTCTTTTCGTCGAAGTTTCCCAACGCAATCTGAAAGATTTGCTGTTAAATGTCTCTTAATTACTCTGTTGATTTCCGTAATAATTTCCACATGATTCTCATTTCTGGTCTTGACATCGGAAGGGGAGCGAATGACAAGTTCAAATTCACTAAATAATGTGCATTTTTCAATCGAGTTAAACAACACATGACGTACGTTGTCAGTTTCTGGGAATTCGTTACAGCTACGGGTCAAGTCGACATTCTCTGTACTTATCAGTCTTAAAAAAAATTCTCTCACACTAGAAACTTCTAGAGACATGATCTGCCCTTCTATGAGCCAAGAGAAATATTTATGTCTCTCGTCAACGCTGGAGCACTTATTAAAAAACTTGTGTAGTAAACAATTCAATGTCACTAAACTACTGTCGGTAACAGGCATGCCTTTCTCAGAGTACAGCTTGATCAAAGGTTGCACTTCTTCGTATTTCAAATCGATTGAAGTCAACATTATTTTTATGATTTTATGTAAAGCAACATGAGCAGTATTTACCACTGTTGAAGTTCTGAAAACATGAAATTTGTATGTTTAGATCCAAGAGATAACACAATGCAAAATTTATGTGTACGCTCTGTTCCCTTGCTTTTAAAAATGTATTGTGGGAGAAATAAACAAATTTTATTATATTACGTATTTGGAGGCTTCAAAATATCACCACTACCACCACCATGCCCTAACAATCATTCTCACAATCAATCACAAAAATGTGAACCAAAACTTAATTGCATTAATAATAATGTGCCAAATAATCACACCAATTGCCTGGTCTCAAACTAGGGAATTCCCTGTACTATGAGTACCAGAGCAAGGGAATTCACTCCAGACCACTACCCGGAACACCCACACCAGAACCAATTTAGAAACATTTGTCCCAAGCCAGTGTGTAAATATCAAGGAAAAGTGATCTGAAATCAGCCTGCAAAATTTGTACATACAAACCATTTTTTTCATTTCAGTAACTTTGTGCTTTAAGATACGGTTTGAGAAAGTAAGGCGACCAAATAGCTAATTGCTTCTTACCTCACACAAGCATTCCATAACGACAACAACACTTCATGCTCTGCATTGTTTTCTGATAAACGAGTCACGGCCAGCCGTGATGTCTCTTCCAAAGTATTCCAATTTACATTTGCATTACTTGTAACCAAAGTTTCAATTACGGTTACAAGAGAATTATAGTCATCCAGAGATATAGTATCGCCAAACTTGTTTACATACACATTTGTTATTCCAAGCCTTTTAAGAAAAAAGCATTATTATTATTTTAATATTGTAGTATGTTATCTGGAATTAAAATCAAAGCAGATCATAACTGGTCAAGGATAAAAGAAAATAATAAAAGAATTACCAAGGTACGTGATTGTGTTTGAGTTCTTGTACAAGGTCCTGAAAACATTTATTTTTGTTGAAAGTTACCCTTTGTCTCTTTGATGAATTTCCACCGTTGTCTTCAACTACTTGGGATATGTTAAATATCTGTATAAAAAAATAAACTGTATTAGAAACTTACCTGAAAAATATATTTGTGTCATAAACTCGAATCACATGTCATTCAAGTAGATAACTACTTAGAAGCGATGCAATCACTAATCGTCTACCTTTAAACACACGCTCGACATGAGGAGCGATACAATCGCGGTGCACGTTTTTAATGATTCAACATAAGTGACTGATTTGAGGCAGTTGCGTGTCTGCATCGACGTAGCCGTGCGTTTGCACCGATGCAACCACCAATAAAGCGCAAGGGTCGCGATGCAATCACGCGTTTATATGGCTCGTATTGCTCGATTTACATTGCAGCGGGACGGAATAGAATGGAAGCGTCAATTTCGCCTCACTGCGCGAAATGCGCGCGGGGTCGCTGGAATTCGCGGGAATGCTCGAGCATTCCAGCGACCGCGCCTTGAGGCTGTAGTATTTCGTCAACGTTTGCCTTTGCGCCACACGTTACACAATTGACCATAAAGTTCATTACGCCACGTACAATATCGTTATAAAAATTCGTTATCATTACGTTCTGTCGCAATATAAATTGAGCCTAAAAGTCGCCGGGTGTATCCACACTTATTTCGTAATTATGTTTGTAAAAATGTAATGAAGCGTCAGTCCTTTACTACATGATGCTAACAATCGTGTCCATTGCACAAGACATACACATTAAATACATATAAATGATATTCAAACGAACCTGAAAATAAATAGAAGCTGCCAAATTACAGTACTGATCGCAATGCTTTAATAAGTTCTCGTCTTGCTTCCGTAATTTTTGTAGGAATGTGACTTCTAAGCAGACTACTTCTAGAAAGTTGTTTAAATGTTTGTCCCAAACTTGCCAATTAAATGCTAAACTTCCTTCTTCTTGTTGCTTTCGGCCTTGTGGATGATGTATCATTACAGTCAAGTGTAATAATTTAAAAAATGATACCTAAAATTTAAGTATACAATAACTTTTTTGTTTTAAATTAATAATAACGCACACACTCAACATAGCCCCGCACTACGGAAACAATGTGTCGCGGGTTCCACGAACACACACATAACAACCACAAATTACGCCCAAACTCACGAGAGAGAAATAAATGTAGGCCGAACACATATTTCTCCCGGCCTGGGTCTCGAACCCAGGACCTCGGCGTGGCAGTCCGGCATGGTAACTGTTCGGGCACAGAGGCAGTTTCATTGCGGCTACCAGCGCAAAAGTAATATAACGAACATATAATTTTTATTCTTTAATATTAGTGTAAACGATACTAATTATATGATTATTATATAATTAAATGCAATTTTTCTGTCAACGGCACGTCAAGCTGCCCTTTTGTTCGAATATCTCCTCCAGTGCAAGGGAACAAGATCCGTCAATGTGTAGCTTGATGTGATGCCGTCTGTACAAACAATATTATAATAATTATACATATATTTGTCATAATATATAAAATGAATTTGGATAATTTTAAATCCTCCATTCCATGGGGTTACCACTTTTGCGGTGATAGACACAATCTTCTAAAAAAATGAGTTTTCCAGCACCATTAGAAAAGTAAGTAAAGTACCTTTTTCTTATAATCAAGATTCTGATCATAAAATTTCAATACTGATGAGAGAAGGTTTTCTGTAAAGTCGCATATTGTCAAGCGACATTCTGTCGAAAGCTAAAAACAAATTTGAAAGTCATTACCACCATGAAATTAAATAATATTATATAATAATAAAAAACAGATTAAATTAATATTACTTGCACTATAAATGACCTACTAATGTTATTATAGCATAAAGACTTTTGTACAGGTGTCCTAAAACTCAATGATAACCTGGGAACTGGATGTTACCTAGATTGAAACAACTCAGAAAAAATATTTAAAAAATTGGGGTCATTTTTTTGTGATATAAGCATTTTAATGAAAAATGTGAAAATGTACGACCTGTACACCATTTTTAAGCACTACAAATAAATTTTGCTATTCCAGTTTTTGTAACGGTAACCCAAATTGCCCAGCTAATGAACACAATGCCAAAGAAAGCCCGAATTGCTAAAGTTTCAGCACAAAAAATATTGCATTTAATTTTTTCTTGAAATTTTTAGCAGATTTTTTTTTCAAGGTAACTTTGACACCCCATACTGTAAAAAAATGTACCTAAAGTACCGTGGCAACTTCTTACAAAAGTTGACGCAACTAATCAAGATCCTAAAATGGTATGAAACCTTCTATGTCATGCTTCTTGGAAAAAATAATCTTGGTTTTTCTAAAAAGAGGCCAATTTAAAAAGATTACCTTTTCTAAGTGAAAATGACTTTCGGTCCCTCTAAGGTTAATTTAGGTTACATATCCATAGAGTCGGAGTTAGAGTGATTGGTAAAAATGGTAAGTATGATTGAGTGAGGCAAACAGTCTCAAAATTCTACATTTCTCGACAGATAAGGGAACTTAAATAACACTAATGAATAAATTATTATAATTTTATTAAAGACTACAGCAAGTGCTCAAACTGTTTTCCACCTGTATCAATACATGCACGGCGACGCCTTAAAAATGACCTTTTCACCAATCGTGCATATCGTCGTAAAATTATCTGTTGTATAGCTTCCGTGATTCTTCGTCGTAATTCGGCAACGTTTGATATTAGTTTTGCATAAACATTTTTCTTTCAGTCAACCCCAGTAAAAAAGTCTAGGGGGTTCAAATCTGGGGGTTCAAAAAAAAAACGCTTCCCGCAATATACTAAGTGGCACGTCTTCCAGTGGATCTGATACCCCGTTCTCCAGATTTGAACCCCCTAGACTTTTTTTACTGGGGTTGTCTGAAAGAAAAAGTTTATACAAAACCGATATCAAACGTTGCCGAATTACGATGAAGTATCATGGAAGCTGTAGAACTATTGACCTAGGTCAATGTGTAGAACAAATAAATTTACGTCGATATGCACGATTGGTGAAAAGGTCATTTTTAAGGCGTTACCGTGCATGTATTGATTCCGGTGGAAAACAGTTTAAGCACTTGCTGTAGTCTGTAATAAAATTATAATAATTAATCATTACTTTTATTTAAATTCCTATATGCGTCAAGAAATGTGGAGTTTTGAGACTGTTTGCCTCACTCAATCATACTTACCATTTTTACCAGTCACTCTAACTCTGACTACATGGATATGAAACCTAAATTAACTTTAGAGGGACTGAAAGCCATTTTCACTTGGAAAATGTACCCTTTTTAAATTGGCCTCTTTTTAGAAAAACCAAGACTATTTTTTCCAAGAAGCATGACATAAAAGGTTTTATACCATTTTAGAATCTTGATTAGTTACGCCAACTTTTGTAAGAAGTTGCCATGGTAGTCTAGGTACATTTTTTTCGGTATGAGGTGTCAGTTACCTTGAAAAAAAATCTGCTAAAAATTTAAAGAAAAAAATTAAATACATTTTTTTTTGTGCTGAAACTTTAGCAATTCGGGCTTTCTTTGGCATTGTGTTCATTGGCTGGGCTATTTGGGTTACCGTTACAAAAACTAGAACAGCAAAATTAGCAAATTTGTAATTGTAGTACTTAAAAATGGTGAAACATTTTTCATTAAAATCCTTATATCACAAAAAAAAAAATTACTCCGATTTCTTGAATTTTTTTTTACTGGGTTGTTGCAAACTAGGCAACATCCTGCTCCTAGGTTAACGTTGAGTTTTGGGACACCCTGTATATAACATTATAGATTGATTTTTGCAACCCATAATGTTATATACAGGAAGGTAGGCAAGATAACTTTTTAATTACAATCACATTCAACAAGCTGGTTAGCCATAAATTTACCGTTTCCAACAACAAAATAATTATTTCTATGATAATCTCTTGAACTTTTTTATCTCCAGTGGCTTCAAGAAAACACTTTTTCAGTTTTGGCAAGGAGTCTCTGAGAGGAACCAACACTTGAGTACAATTCGTTGCATTCTTCACAATGAGTGCAAGCAGTCTCATTTTTGTGAAGTCATCTAACTTACTGCCTTTTGAAAGACATGTATCCAAACTCACGGTTAGCAGTTCTAAAACAAAAAAGTGATTCTTCTGTGTGCTGAAAGACCAGTATAGTAAATGTTAAAGAATTTCCCCGAACTCCCCTTACGGTGCATAGAATTGCACATCGTAATTGTTACAATATAATACAAATATTAGAATATCACCCTGTAGAAATGTCTATTTCGCAAATCACTGTGACCTACTTGACAAGATAAACAATAACTATTATGACGTATGACACATAAGCCTATAAGTTGAGAATAAAAAAGTAACATTAAATTGCGATGCCACAGGCCAAGGCCGCAAAAACACTGTCAGAACTCATGCGCGTAACTAAAGAGACCTATCTGAAATAGCAAAAAATACAGCTGTTCCATATCTTTTGGTTGAATGAGTATGAACCGCTGATTTGTTTTGTCCAAGTAGTAAACAAGATACATTAAATTATAGAAATAATGAACATTACGATTATTTTCCTAATTTTTTATTTGTATCACAAAAAAATATAATAATTAACCTTTCATACTAACAATACTGAAAATGTATGTAATATAACAAACAAAGTTTTCCGAAGCTACCTTATACTTTAGAAACCATCATATAATCTTCACTTCCTCTACTACAGTTGCAAGAATATAAATAAAGTATATTACATGTACTCACCCTCCCATCCAGTAGGTGTGATCAAACTCAAATAATATTCACAAGATAATACATCTTTGTATAGTAAATTTAAGTAGGCATCTCCAATAGCTCTGCTTAGTCTCCTATCCTTCAATATAAACAAGCAGGCATCAATGACTTTGTCACATTTTATGTATGCTCGACCTTTGTTAGAACCAGAAACGCAGAGATGGAGCAAGGTGGCACAAAGAGGGGCAACAACTGCATCAAATGTTTTTGAAGATTCAAACTTTTCCAATTCCTGTAATAGTACTCACAATTTAATCTCGTTCTTACAATATAATTACTATTAAAATCATAGCCTGCTTGAGTATATATTTAATCAATTAATATTTCCAAATTTATTTTACTTCTGTGATAAGCAGCAAAATTAAGTAAGGGTGTTCTTAGCAATCAATGAGTTAAATTGCACACATCGGCACATTTAGCAGAACACTAGTAAAATTCCCAGAATCCTGTCTTTGTTCAAAATCTGGTTTTTTATTTGGCTACTCCACTGGTTCCCCCCTGGTGACAAGTGATAACGTTTTGTTCAGACTTTTAAAGAAAAACTTATGAGGGCAGAGATTTTTAACCGATGAAGAAAAGTCCGCGATCAATTATCATTTCTACGAGCAACCAAAAGAAAATTTTTTAAAGGACTGTTGTCCCTTTATAGCACAGTTAATAATGCATTTGGCTGGCAGGAAGCTATATTGAAGAAAAAAAAGAAAGTAGCAATGGTCGTCTTTTATTTCATACTTAGATAGGTTACTTTTCAGTCGCCTCTCGTATTTGGGCGCCTTCAAATCAATATGCTTATTACAAGTGTTGCAGTGGCGCCACTGTGGTGCTGCAGCGCCACATAAACTAGATATTGTATGAAAATTAGTAATGGCGTGGCTGCCGCGACACAGATAGACGGCCGGAAAGCTTCTATCAGCATCAAATTTGAAAGCGCCCAAATAGTATTGCTTAAATTTACCCTTAGCAGGTAATAAATACTACCATATTTTTAAATAAATAGTCAACTGACATAGTTTTAGTCTCTAGTGTACTTATTAATAGAAACGGCTGGGTAAAAGGTTAGAGGGTTAAGGTTAAAGGGATAAATGGAAATGAAATTTCCATTTCCAACCAATTATGGTGTAGTAGGGAAAACTGGAAAAAAAATACACTAGTCCCCACCAAATGGGAGAGCTGGTAGGGACTAGTTAGTGAAATAGGCCAGTTATTTTACTTGTTTTACCAATTTGAAAATAAAAAATAAGTCAACCGTAATTATTTTTCATTAATTTATTTTAATTTCCTACTAATACAGGTCTGTCGAGTGGTTCAAGATTGATTTTATATTTTTGTAAATTCCATAAACTTCAGTTGATAAAGTTTTTCATTTATTAAATTTTGACATAATCAATGTCGAATTCACAATATTTAAGCTGTTTCTGCTTTGTCACAAAATTGAAAAAAGTATGACCATTTTATATTATCACTTATTTTATTAATAATTTTTCTTTTATATACTTTTATACTGAACCAAAATTAAAATCAACAAAACCAGCATTCTGTTAGTTCTTCGTAATATGAGCACTATCAGTCTTTGCAAATCTCATAGACCTACCAACCAGGTGAGTAAAGGAAGATATAACAACAAAGAATCTATTTTCACTTGGTATAATAACATTTGATATAATTTCTAAGGATATAATCACTCACTGTATATAATCAACAAAAGGTATAACAACAAAAGGCATAATTTCCATGTGTATAATGAACATTCAGTATAACAAACATTAGATATAATAGTCAAGGGACCTAATAAACAAATGGTATAAGTACTACCAGTAAATAATATAACACAATATTTCGTTTTACGAATAGTTGAAGCGCCCTACATTATGGTGATAAGAATTTTTTTATTCCATTAAATGTACAGTCGCAAAATATAATTGCTTTTGTATAGCTTTAAGTGCTTTTTGTGTTATAAAATATATACAGGGTGTCCCAAAAATAACACGCCAGAGCGACACTGTGGGTAGGTGAGCTATATACCTACCAGAAAAAAATATTTTGACCCTAGTAAAAGTCTTTTAGTTTTCGAGATATAGGCCTTTTTTTATTTTTTTGCAAAAACTACTCTTTGTTGGGTTTTATGCTATTATTGCCATGGTTAGCTCCAGATGGTTGTTATTTTTTTTTTTCGAGTATTCTGAATAATTTTTCCAGGTACAGCAACTAATATTTTACGTAGAAATATCATAAACTATGAAAAAAGTGATTAATTTGGTATACTTCGTACCCTTGTTAAAAGTTAAACATTAACTTTGAATAGCCAGTGTGAAAAAAAATTGTATGAAACTGAATTTATAAACGATCTTAAAAACTACTCCACTTAATGCAGAATCAGGAATTGTACAATACTATTGAAATTTTTGACAAGAACTTATTTAATTTTTTTTCGACATCAACACCCTACTAGCCGAATTGGTTTGTAAACAAAAATTGTGTTAAATTATTGAGCTTTATGACTAACTACTCTGTCGCTAGGCCCCAGGTAGTAAAAAATGAGCGAGAGGTATGACCCTTATTTGTTATCTCTCTCTTACGTCGGTATTGGTCGCCAGGTGGGATCGGGTCGGGTTGGGCCCGTAGTACCCGTTAGTACATACCTTTGTGTTTTGTGCTACGTACGCGTTTTTCGTTTTATCGCTGCTTCCGTTTCTACACTTTCGACGACTTGGCATCACTTTGGACTTTGATTTGATAACCATCGGAAAAGTTTTTTTAGTAATCATATCAACAACTTGGCATTACTTTGGACCCTGATTTGCTTACTATTTGGACCGTGTTGTTTGTGTGTGATAGACGGCTGCGCCTCCGGATACTGCCTTTATACAGTTAAAATGGCAGATCAACAGAATATTGTTGGAGCAAACCCCGAATTCACTCATAGTGATTAAGCTGACATGTACCTAATTTACGGCGAAACTAGACGTGTTTCTGCTCGCGGCATCGTATGGTTAAATGCAAGATTAGCAGCAAGATTGTATGCGGTAAGATTTCCTAACCGTAGGCCACCGACCCATGAGACCATAATAAGAGTTGATGCTGCATACAGAGAGGGTAGGAATCCTGGCCATCGAGGCAGACCTCGTACCGTCGCAGACGAAATAGTTTTGCAGGAAGTGTCAAGAGATCCGTCCACTTCAGTTCGCCTGATAGAAAGACGGACTGGCATTTCAAAGTCTACGGCACAGCGAATTTTAAAAAGGCACCGATACCACCCATACCATATTCAGAGAGTTCAAACTTTACTGCCGAGCGATTACGCTAAACGCGTAAAGTTTTGTCAACAAATGCTTCAAAAGCACAGTGAAGACCCCAACTTTTTTAATAGGATTTTGTGGAGTGATGAATCAGCATGTCGCAGAGATGGCTATGTAAACCTCCACAATATCCATAGCTGGCAGTTAGAGAACCCGCACGAGAGAAGAGAAGATCGGTCCCAACACCAGTTTAAAATTAATTTATGGACCGGAATTTTCAATGGGGAAATATTTAGGTCCAGTTGAACTGCCTCCGACTCTAAATGGCGAAAATTATGTAGAGTTTTTACAAAACTATTTGCCAAACCTTCTCGAAGATGTGCCAATAGCATTACTAAGAAGAATGTGGTTTCAAAATGATGGGTGTCCAACCCACTACGCTCGCGACGTCCGAACGCACCTCGACCAGACGTTCCCACGAAGATGGATTGGCCGATTGGTACCAATTTTGTGGCCACCGAGATCACCTGATCTGAACCCCCTCGACTTCTTCTATTGGGGGTGCTTAAAAGATATAGTTTACTTCAAAGCTATCACTACAGAAACCGAAATACGACGACGAGTCTATGAAGCAGCCCGAGAAATTTCTCAAATGAGTTTGAGCATGTGCATTAGAGTCAGAGGGAGGCAGTTTGAACACTTGCTGTAATATCTAATAAAAATTAAATTATTTAAATTTTATTGTTTTATTTTCCATTAAGTAAAAACGGCGACAAATCAAGCGCCACACAAAGGCACTCTACCACGATATTAGTAGCTAAATCCGCATACTTTTGGGAAGTTTGAAATGTCACAGTTTGTTTGTACCAGTTCAGAGAGAGAAAGAAAAGCTTAGTAACTATCTCACTCCTTTATTACGAATACAACGTGGGAAAAAGATTGATGCGCCGTTACCTAGCGCTTAGCAATTAATTCATTTAAAAGTTTAAATTTAATTTTGTTTAGAAACTGATTAGGCTGGTAGGGTGTTATGACGAAAAATAAATTAAATGACTATGTTCTTGTGAAAAATCTCAATAATATTGTACCATTCCTGATTCTGCATTAAATGGAGCAATTTTTAAGATCATTTGCAAATTCAGTTTCATACATTTTTTTTCACACTAGCTATTCAAAGTTAACGTTTAACTTTTTACAAGGGTACGAGGTATACCAAATTAATAACTTTTTTCACATTTTATGACATTTATCAGATAAAATATGAGTTGCAGTACCTGGAAAAACTATTCAGGTTACCTGAAAAATAAAAACAACTACCATCTGGAGCTAACCCTGGCAATAGTAGCAAAAAACTCAACAAAAAGTAGAGTTATACTAACCTAACCTAAAGGCACAGGAGGAGGTTGAACCAACTAGAAAATGCAAACGAATTCGGTTCATTCACTGTTGCACCTTTTTTTTTTTTTTTTTTTGACGGGGGGGAAATCTTTATGGATACCCTGAGCCCAGGGAGACTCAGGGGTTATGTGGGG